CACGAGGGCGCACGAGGGCGCACGAGGGCGCACGAAGGCGCACGAGCAGAGAAAGGCGCACGAGGCCGCACGTAAGGTAGGGCGCATGAGGGCGCTTCTAGCGGAATAGTGGGCCCGTAGTAGAAAGCGGTCCTAGGTAGCAACCTAGGCTCTGATACCATGTTAAGAAATGAGGAATGAAGAAGAGAGAGGGTTGCACTAGCAGCAGTTGGCATACATATAGGAAACCCTAATTGGGTTGTACTCGCTATAGAGTACCCCACTGCAGGCTAGACAATTATAACATTCTGACACACCCCCATAGCCAAAGTGGGGTGTAATCAGCACAGTGAGCAAGCAGGCATAGAGCAGGAGTTCACAATAGGGAGCAAAGCTAGAGTTAATCACAGCGGGCAAGTGAGGAGGAGGAGGAACTGTGGAGGGAGAGAAGATGGGAGGCAACGACTGAAGCTGCAGAGGCACGGGCACAGGAGCGGCTGACTCAGTGGCTACCGAAGCAAGGGCGACGGACTACTGGAGTAACTGGCTCCGCGGCTATAGACGAGCGGCAGGAGCAACGGACTCACTGGCGACTGGTGCAACAGGCTCACTGGCTACCGAAGCAAGGGCGATGGACTACAGGCGCTGCAGGCGACACGACAGCTACCTTCACACAACCTCCTCCAGCTGCCCCACACCCCTCGACACACACCCCCTGCTCAAACCCTAGTTCCACTCCCTCAGGACCCCCTTTTTACACACCCCTTGCTGCACCCTAGGTTCACTCACACCCCACCCCCTAGCACCACTCCGTCGACTCCCACACACCCACCCCCCTCAGCGGCAGCTGCAGCAGTGGGAGACAGAGGAGGAGGAGGAGGAGCAGGGGAGACCACACACCCGCCACCCCCTACTCGCCACCCCCAGACCCTAACACAGGGCAGGGCGGGACGGCGGGTAGGGAGGTTACGGGGGGGGGGGGGGGGCGACGCGCGGCCTCCCAGGGCGCCAAAACAGGCGGCAGAAGGGGCGACGCTCGCCCCCCCCCCTCAGGTCGCCCCTCCCGTCGCCTGTCGAGGCGACCTGAGGGGGCCGCGCGCGGCCCCCCAAGGAGCCGCGACGGGCGACGGGAAAAGAGGGGGGGGGGCGGTGCACGGGCCCCCGGTGCGCCGCGACAGGCGACAGAGCATGGCCGGGGCGGGGCCGGGGCAGAGTCGAGGCAGGGCCGAAAGGGGCGGCGACGGGGCCGCAAGTGTCGGCGACGGGGCCGCTGGAGGCGGCGACGGGGCCGATAGGGGCGGCGACGGGGCCGATAGGGGCGGCGACGGGGCCGCTGGTGGCGGCGACGGGGCCGATAGGGGCGGCGACGGGGCCGCGAAGGGGCCGCGAGGGGCCTGGAAGGGCGGCGACGGGCCGCTAGGGGCGGCGACGGGGCCGCGAAGGGGCCGCGAGGGGCCTGAAAGGTCGGCGACGGGGCCGCTAGGGGCGGCGACGGGGCCGCGAAGGGGCCGCGAGGGGCCTGGAAGGGCGGCAACGGGGCCGCTAGGGGCGGCGACGGGGCCGCGAAGGGGCCTCGAGGGGCCGAGAAGGGCGGCGACGGGGCCGCTAAGGGCGGCGCGAGGGGCCGTGAGAGGGGCAGGAAAAAAAAAAGTCTGTCGCACGCCACGGGGCGTGCAACACACAGAGTAGCAGCGGAAGCTGTTAGGTGGGCCCACAGGCCAGGAGCGTAGATGCTCTGATAGCATGTTAAGATAGGAGCTAAAGCTGAGAAGCCATAGCTAGGTTTTAGGGTATATGAAAGAGAAATAGGAGAAGAAGTGGTTTCACTAGCAGCAATGAGGATACATATAGGAAACCCTTGATGGGTTGTACTCGCTATAGAGCACCCCACTACAGGCTAGAGAATAACATTCTGACATGATGCAGCGGAAGTCCCCTGAGCCTCACTCCGATTGATGTCTTGGGCGGCATGGGCGAGGCTGGTGACTGAGGGTGAGCTTTCTTCTCATTCACAAAGCGCCCTCACTTCTCTCCTTTCTCGTTCACATTTTCAGCTAGAGGTGTTTTTGCCTCTCCACATACCGGTAATAGTCGTGCAGCCTTTTCTGTAATTGCTTCTTAGGTTCAGCTTGAGTTAAGCGTTTTACGTCCTGCGCACGCACCATGGGCCAGCACTCGTTTGTCGCCATTGCCTGCGCGCTCGCATTGCTGCTGGCGTCAGCTGCCGCTCGTCCCAGCAAGGAGGATTTAATCAACGAGGTGAAGGCGGCTCGGGAAGCGCTCAACGACCCCAAATTGGGTGGCCGATACAAGAGCAGCGGCGTAATTGTGGGTAAATCGCCGCTGTTTTCCTTTCTTTCTTCTTCGTTTTACTATTTTCTCGTCGACGAATTTTAGATTCCCTGTACCCACGTCAATTCTTTCCTTATGTGATTCAGAGACGGACTGGAACCCACCAGACGACTATCTCGCCAACACCGAGGGGAAAACCGTCCTCCTACCCGACGATACAGCCATCGCTTCCGCGGCGCCTGACGCGGTTACCACGTTTGCAAAATCCAAGTTTCAGCGCAACGACGTTACCCCGTACGGGAAATGGATTCGCGCGAACATTCTGGACGGAGTGTACGAGGAGGACGACCTGGCAAACACCAAGGGGCTGAAGAACGCGAATGGGCACAGCGTGGATGCGGCTGAGATTCTGGACGCCAAGACTGGCAAGAAGAAGGTGGCGCTAGGGAAGGGCAAGGCCAAGATCAAGACTCCAGCGATTTTCAGAGGGAAGCTTTTTATCATCCATGGCGTGGATGCGGTGCAGCCGAGGGACATCGCGGAAAAGGTTTTCACCCTAAGTTGCGGGAAATGGGGTATTATGCTGAAAAGCTTCCGAAATGCATACAGATGTATACAGAAAGTTGCGATCGTGAAATCGCAACCTACCCCCACTTGCACACTTGGTATTCACGCCAAGGGCAACGGAGCGCAAATGTACAATCTGTGTTGCCTTGGCGGGAAATCCGCGGCTCGACAATCGAAAAATATGAAACCTCGACATTGGGTGGTTCGGTAAAATACACCAGCGTATACAGTTGCGTAAACAGGCACATCGCGAGGCACACCACAATACACGTACACTTGTAGGGACTCGCATGTGGCTTGAAGACGGTAGCGATGTACGAAACCAAGATACCCTTCGTGCGTTTTTCGCAAATAAGATCTTGTACACAAAAGAAATCATCAACGTTCCACGTCACTGCCTCACGTCCACTCCTGGCCTCTCACCAACCTAGGTAATCGTTCTTGCCAATTGGTGCTGTGTGCATGAATCAAAGTCGGCACTCAGCAACTCCCTCATCCACACACTTTCATACCTAACCTCTAAGTCGAAGTTGAAACCACACACTTCGTTCATTTGGTCTCCAAGTCGAAACCTATCTCTCCTCATTCCTGTTATGCTTACTAGACCATCTCTTCTCGCACGCTAGGTTTCTTGTCAGCTCGAAAAGTGTCCAGATCTATCGCCTTAGCTTGACACTATCCCCTTCTGATTCTTTTCCGACCCTGCCAACTCCCATGTTGTTGCCCATATTAAACAGGTACATTTTCTTCACAAGGAGAACGTACTGCTCGTGAATCTTAGCGGAAACACCGGCTTCAGCGCCAGACGCTCTGGCGGCTACGAAAGCGGTGTGGGACGAATCGCCAGCGCCTACGATTTCGCGCCCTTCTTTTCGCGCATGTAGGCAATCAGCTGCCGTGCACATGCAATTACGTTAATCTATTATGTATCCTATGCCTCCATTTTTTGCGTTCGTTTAGTGTCCCACTCGGGTTGTTATTTGCCTATCTCTCCCGTAGTTATACTCATTCGCTCAGACGCATCTCGTTACACGGTTTGGTTTTCTTTTTCCTCCCCAATCTCCCAGTTTCTAGCCGCGCAACCGCGACGAACCGCCGGACGTTTTGATTTGTGGCGCCACCGTCGGCCAGCCGCAAAGGAATGTGTGCGCTAACAGCACCACGACGCCGGACTTTTGCGTGGAAGCCGCTCCCGGGAAGTCGCTTCAAAATTACGCAGAGTATGAGGTACGCATTTCAAGCACCTCATGTATCCAATCCGCTCACATCTTGTATCCATTTCGCGCTTTTTGTGAGTACCTCTAACGGCAAACGATAACGTTCATCTGTTGTTTGTTTTGTATCCCTTGAATAGCGCCGTTACTATCTATGCAACAGTCGTATGGTTGAAGCTGTCAAGGGAGATTGTTGAGTGGTTGTATATCGCACACACGAATGCCATTATTCGCTGAGACTCACGGTTGGTCTTCTTTTTGCAGGCTATGTGCAGGCGCGTCGCGCAGGTCAATTATAGTCGTAGAGTAATTTGGTGGACTGGAGTAGTTGCTTCTTTCACTGTGTTAGAATATAAGGCACCAAATTTATATGCCATTTCTGTTAGTATAAGCGATTTCTTTAGTGATGGTTAAAAGCAATTGTGTACAAGAACCATAAATCAAAATTATTACCTCGTGAACCGATTTCGACGCAGAGCATTGTCAGAATCCCAACCACTAGACCATTGGGATAAAATGGCTTATTTGTGTAGCGGGTAAGTGCGCCCATAACCCCCCAGGCCAACGTGCCTGTAACCCTTCCCTAGGATCAATCGGGGATCACCAGTGGACCTCTAACACCCCCCCGCACTGGGATGCCCGAAGTGCACACACTGGGATTCGAACCCGAGACCTTCGCTCTGATACCATGTCAGAATCCCAACCACTAGACCATTGGGATAAAAGGGCTTATTTGTGTAGCGGGTAAGTGCGCCCATAACCCCCCAGGCCAACGTGCCTGTAACCCTTCCCTAGGATCAATCGGGGATCACCAGTGGACCTCTAACAAGCATTGCACGCGCAATTGTAATCCAATAATATGTCGTTTTGCACGCATACAACTCGTCTCTGATTGGTCCACATGGCTAGCTGACGTTCACATATCGATAGTGACATGTGGCAAAATATCTATGCGTACGTGACACAAATATCTATACGAACGTACCCACGTACGTACACACTGAAGAAGAAACCGTACTCGTGTCACGTGGCATGCCAGAAAGGTTACATTGAAGTGACAACTACCGTCATCGCCCGGATATAAGACAGTGTTGAATAGTAGACAGGGGTTGTCTACTATACGGGTGTCTCTTATAAACAGGCAAGCCTTTTTATACGACACCTATTTGTGTGTACGAGATAAGACATATATGTCTTATAATCAGAACCGGGGTTTAGGGGTTTTCTTATAAACAGGGGGTGTCTTCTAAACGAGCCTACACTACTTTAGGGGGGTACATCCATACATTCATGAATCCCTACTTCTACCTAACCCCCCTCAGTAACCGCCTCCTCTGCAGCACTAACAACAGGCTCTACGCCCAGGTCTGGCACTCGCCAGGCATGCCTAGCCGTCTCCCTTGGCTCGATCATGCGGTCAGCCTCGGCCGCCGCTCCGCGGTAGTTGGGGGTCTCCTGGTACAGCACCTCCAGGCCAGTTGCCACGGCCACCTCCCGCACGCCCTCCGCCTGCATCGCCTCCTCCTCCTCCTCCTCCTCCTCCTCCTCCTCCTCCTCCTCCTCCTCCTCCTCCTCCTCCTCCTCCTCCTCCTCCTCTGGAGCCTTCCGAAGCAGGCGGGTGTTGTCGCCTGTGGTCCCCCCGAGGGACATGTCCTCGGAGACATCGGTGGTGCTCCTGGCGCGCAGGTGAGACATCACCAGGTGGTTCTCCGTTCCGTCCAGCTTGCTGGAGATCCCCCAGTGGCGGAACGCGTCGATGATGATCTGCCTGGGGACTTGATCCCAAGCCTCCGCGATCCACTGCAGCACCACGGGGTGCGGAGGCCTCCGCAGGTTCCCTGCGGGTGGGACAGAGGACACGGCAGCGAGATGTTAACGATAAGGACATGAAACAGAGCAGGAATTTAAAATGAACAGCCAACTTACCCTTCTTCGTCTTCAGGTGAATCCCTTCACGCATGAACCACCTGGCGTAGCGCGCTCGCACGGCAGCCTTGAAGCACCGGTTGATGGAGACGTCCAGGGGTTGAATCTGGCTCGTACAACCCGCTGGAATGACTGCAGGGGTGATGCTGTGCGTGCGGTACGACTGAAGCATGGTCTGGGTGATGTGGCCGCGGTAGGAGTCCAACACCAGCATCGCACGCCTCGCGCTCTTGCCGCGCTGGGGGTTCAGATGGGGAAGCACCTCCTTGGATAGCCAGGTCTGCACAGCGCTCTCGTCCATCCACCCGTTGTCCTGTGCTTGGACCACGATTCCTGCCAGGCACACAAGGGACAGACGGACATCAGCACAGTGGGGCACGCTCATGAGGCAGGGGCAAGGTTGAAGTCATGGCGCTTACCGTCCGGAATCTCACAGTTGGGGACGTTCTTCATCTTGAACCACACCCACGGCCGCAGCTTCTCCCCGGATGCAGTGCACGCGAGCATCACCGTCAAGCGCGTCTTCTGGTAGCCTGTAGTGCGGATTGGGACCGAGCGCGCGCCACGGTGCTCGATCGTCCTCTCGGCCGGCATCTCCACGAACAGTGGCGTCTGGTCCGCGTTGATGATACGGGCCAGGTCGATGTTGTGCCGCACCCTGTTGATGCGCACGAACTTCCAGAAGGACTCGCAGTCCTTCGCGCACTCTGCAAACGGGACAGGAACAGAAGCGAGGGACGGTTAGACAACGAGCAAGGTAAAACATGCATACAATGGGCCGTGCGCGGCACGAACTCCTTATCCACGCACCTGCCGACAGACTTTGTCCGACCTTCGTCTTCACCCGCATCACCAGGTTCCAGCGGTCACGGAAACGCTGGCTCCAGTGAGAGCTCGCGTTCCAGTTCTTGCCGGGGTAATGCTTCTTCATCCACTCGCGGCTCCACTTTTGGGTGTCCTTCACCGAGATGGCCACCCCGTTAGCGCGCTGAAGGCAGATGTAGCGGTACAACGCTGCCTCCATGTCGGGGTAGTGTGCGTGGCGGCCCCCCCCGTGCATCCGCTTGCGGCAGTTAGCCGCGCCCTTGTAGATGCCCGCAGCCGCCTCCGCGCACCAGCGTCTGATGCAGGCGACGCTCGCGGTTGACTCCAAGCTAGTCTTCTTCAAGGAGCCGAGCTCCTGATAGCGGCGCGCCCACTTAACCTTCTCACGCACGGTCCAGCCGCGGCGCTTCTTCGTAGTGTCTTTGCTGCGAGGGGAAGGTGGGCGGGTGTTGGGATTATGGAGGGTGGGGTCCTTTGGCGCCTCCTTCTCAGGGAACGTGGGAATCGGGCCCGCCGCCGCCGCGTACTGATCGTCGCTGCCCAACGCCTCGTTGACGATGATGTCGTCAGGATTCGGCGCCTTCTTCGCCTTTTTCTTTGCCGCACCCTTGCTGGATCCAGGGTCTCCGTCGTCCTTGCGCTTCTTGTTGCTTGTGCGGCCACGAGCAGGGGCCTTTGCAGGGGCCTTAGCAGGGGACTTAGCAGGGGCTTCCACGACCTTTGCCTTTCCCTTCTCCGCAGCGGTGAGTAGGGGGCGACGCTCCTCCCCGAGACTGTCGTCGTCACAGAGCACCACGCGGGCGCGCTTCGTCGTGGACTGTAGGCGATGGCGCAGCCTCCGCTTCAGTAGCGGAACGTCGTCGTCTGTCCCAAGGCTCCACGGGTCGTCGTCGTCGCCCTCACCCTCAAATAAGACGGCATCCGCAGCCACCTTGTTCGCCTCCGCCACCGCGTCCGCATCCGCAGGCGCCTCTGTCTCGAGTTCCGCCGCCGCCTCGTCGGCAGCCTCATTCGCATCCACCGCCGCTTCCTGTGCCTCCGCGTTGTCACCGCCAGCATCTTCACCTCCGTCGTTGTCGGAATCACCAGCCCGCCACTCTTCCACCTCGTCGTCGCTCCCGACCGGCTGATTGCACCATTCGTCCTCCTCGATGTCGGCAGTACCAAATTCGTCGCCCGAAGCGCTGTCATCGTGGCCGTTCTCCGGCCAATCCTCCTCGGCGTCGTCGCCGTGTGCTTCGTCTCCGTCTTCCCCGTCACAGCTCGCATCGGAGGCGGCGGTAAGACTTCCCGCCTTGCTCGCGTTCTTCGCCATGGCTACGCGGATGTCATCGCCGGGCGAGTTAATTCGCCCGTAGTTATTCACCTGCACGTGAGGACGAGGTGAGGACTTGCCTAGGGGTACCTTGCTGCGCATGGTTAGAGAGCCTGCCGAGAGCAAGGTTGAGGTGAGAATTCAACCTCCATGAGCACCAAATGAAGTGAAAGCCCGACTACCCCCCCCAGCCAGAGTGCCCCATCCACAGGTGCCGAGCCGCTCCTCTACGAGGCATCTCCTCGTAGAGGACAGCCTGACGCTGCCAACGTGCTGCCAGCAGCGTTCTGGAAGCTGCCGTGCGCTGCTGGCAGCAAAACGACGCTGGCAGCATCATTAGATGCTGCCAGCACAGAGGAATCTTGCCAGCGGTGGCAGCTTTGCTGCATCACCACCGAGGTCGGCCTGTTTCAATGAATCTGGTCCCTGGGTGTTTTCTACACACTTTGCAAGTGTTACAGTCAACTTAAATTTTTTTCCATTTATAAGAATTATAAGACACCCTAAACCATCCCGTTTACAAGATAACTCAAGCATTTTTGCCCGTGTACGAGATACAGGGCTGATTTTATCAGACTATTTTAGTCTGATTGTCTGAAATCTCAGACTCTTTTTTTCGCCTTTCCTGAAATTTCAGTATTCCTGTATTCTGAACTCTGAAGGCCTCAGACCTGTTAGTTTTTCAACTCTGAAAATTTCAGAGTACTTCATTGTGCGATACTGAGACTCGAGACTAGAGTATGGCCCCTGAATTTGCCGAATTTCAGTCCTCCCCCCTCCCCCTCTCTCGAATTACATTCAATTCCCCCCCTGCCCCCCTCCCCCCTCCCCCTTCCCCCGCCCCCTCTTACTCCTGCTTCTCGCCAACTCCGCAACGTTTTCCCTAGGCCAAACTCGCTTGACAGATATTCGCTATTCACCAACTCGGATGCGGTTTTACAAACTTAAAACTTTTCAGACTAATGATTTTTTCAAACCTGACATTTCAGAGTACTCAGAACTTGGGAAATGACCCTCAGACTAAACGAAATCTTTTTCTCCCCTGCCTCAGAGTGGGTTTTTTTGAAACGTCAGCCCTGACGAGATAAGACATATATGTCTTATATCCGGGCGATGACGGTAAGTATACGTCAGGTTGCGCTTAGGTGTCCACTTTGCATCCAAAATGTGTCTGAAATGTATCGGAAGAGTTGCTGAAACTCAACCCAATTTCCCGATACTTTCGACCTTGACTAGAAAATTGCGGGAGCAGGTATCCAGAAAGTAACCTTTCTGCAAGTTTTTGGCAACAATCTCGCAATCCCTTTCCCGCGATGGAGCAATAGAGTTAGTAACGCTTGTTTCGCTTTGTCTTGGTTGTGATGGGATGGCGCGGTGCCAGCCACCTTGAGGAAGTTGTGACTGTTGTACTTTACAGTGATGCCATCTTGAATCAAGCTGTTATGCTAGGAATGACGCTGCCTTCGTACGGTATTAGGGTATGGTTGGTGGGCAAGGCCAAGTGTGCTGCCGACGTTGATGCATGGCATCCATCCATGCACACAAGGAACTGCTGGATGCCTGCAGTTGGCACCCTTGCACTCCAATGCCCAGTAAATACTTGATACGCTCAAGAAGATGGAAAATTCCAGCAGAACTTTGCTACTATTCCATTGCTTCATTTCCTACCCATAGATGATCCGACAAGCTGACACCAAGCATGTGACACACAGGACAGGATGCTCTTTGCATTATCGGGCATGTCATGTACCTTTCATCATGTGAGAGGGCAGTGGGGGGTAGTAAAAGTCATTGCCTTTGCCCTTCTTCCCTGCTTTGCTCGACCCGCCAGTATGATTTTCTCCCTCCAATGCCTTCAATCTGTGCTTGGCACTTTGCCCTGTAGCATCTTCATGAAGGTTCGCAGAACCTTCTGTATCCTTAGGTTGAGTTGGCGGCAGGGCTTGGGAAGGTGTGGCAGTGGGAGGGGTGAGGAGCGGTGCAGGCGGGGATGAGTGAGCGGATGCAAGGGAGGGCGCACACAGCATGGCCTGTATGGCATGCACCAACTGGTATACGGCATGGGTGCAGAGGGGGAGACGCATGTCAAGAAGGGATACAGAGGGGGGAAAGAGGAAAGTGTGACGAGGAAGAAAGATTGATAAGAATTATGCAAGAAATTGAAGAAAATCGAGCAGCAGCAACGGAAGAGAGTCAAGGCTAGGCTCGGTGCACAAGGCACATGGCATTGCGTTACAGAACCAACCAAGGTGCTTTGAATGAACAACGATGCAACACTTGGCTTATAGCTGCGCTCACTGCCTGCCCCACTCAAGTCGAAGCCACCCGCCTCTCACCTCCTCCACACCAACACCCGCCTCTCACCTCCTGCACACCAACACCCGCCTCTCACCTCCTGCACACCAACACCCGCCTCTCACCTCCTGCACACCAACACCCGCCTCTCACCTCCTGCACACCAACACCCGCCTCTCACCTCCTGCACACCAACACCCGCCTCTCACCTCCTGCACACCAACACCCGTCTCTCACCTCCTCCACACCAACACCCGCCACGGTTGACACTCGCAGGGCCGCAGCCGGTCCACCGTGAGCCTTGTACGCCTCCCACGCCACCGCCACGCTTGCTGCTCTCACTGCCACTTCTGCGATCTCCTCCCCATGTGCTTCCCGCACTGCCTCGGCTTCACCCAGCAGCACCGCAGCGGTATCCCTCCTGTCCGAACCACTTCTCCTATCCCCATCCGCTTCCTCTGATTGGCCGCCTGGAGGCTCCTCCGTGGGAGCAGCAGCAGGCAGGTCGCACTTGGATATCACGTCGATCCACACGCGGTCGGCAAATCTTGTCTTTATCTCGCTGTACAATTGATACTGGCAAGGGTAGGGGAATGGTGATTAAGTGCAAAGGCAGCAAGTGCAAGGAGCAACAAATGCAACAAGGCCAATAAGGGTAAGCTGGAATGAGGAACAACTGACTGCATGCAAGGTGAAATTGGGTAGAGCACGGTGCAGTGCGGTAGGATGGACTGTGGAAAACAAGGCAAACATAGCTGCACTCCTCACCTGCTTCAACCGGTTGACACCGCACTCCTCACCTGCTTCAACCGGTTGACACCGCACTCCTCACCTGCTTCAACCGGTTGACACCGCACTCCTCACCTGCTTCAACCGGTTGACACCGCACTCCTCCGAGGGGTCATGAACGAAAAGCACAGCAGTGGGCAGATGGGTGATAGCTGCTATGGTGAGAAGCTCTATGCTGTTGCGCTGCTCTGGGGATGAGGGCAGGGAGGGGGCAGGGCGAGCACAGGGCGAGGCCAGCGCGAGGGCAGGACGGGAAGAGCGGTGCATGGGAAACGGGAGCAGAGCAAGAGTATGGACCATGTAATACGGCAGTGGAGCATGGGCAGTGGAGCATGGGCAGTGGAGCATGGGCAGTGGAGCATGGGCAGTGGAGCATGGGCAGTGGAGCATGGGCAGTGGAGCATGGGCAGTGGAGCATGGGCAGTGGAGCATGGGCAGTGGAGCATGGGCAGTGGAGCATGGGCAGTGGAGCATGGGCAGTGGAGCATGGGCAGTGGAGCATGGGCAGTGGAGCATGGGCAGTGGAGCATGGGCAGTGGAGCATGGGCAGTGGAGCATGGGCAGTGGAGCATGGGCAGTGGAGCATGGGCAGTGGAGCATGTGCAGTGGAGCATGGGCAGTGGAGCATGGGCAGTGGAGCATGGGCAGTGGAGCATGGGCAGTGGAGCATGGGCAGTGGAGCATGGGCAGTGGAGCATGGGCAGTGGAGCATGTGCAGTGGAGCATGTGCAGTGGAGCATGTGCAGTGGAGCATGGGCAGTGGAGCATGGGCAGTGGAGCATGGGCAGTGGAGCATGTGCAGTGGAGCATGGGCAGTGGAGCATGGGCAGTGGAGCATGGGCAGTGGAGCATGGGCAGTGGAGCATGGGCAGTGGAGCATGGGCAGTGGAGCATGGGCAGTGGAGCATGGGCAGTGGAGCATGGGCAGTGGAGCATGGGCAGTGGAGCATGGGCAGTGGAGCATGGGCAGTGGAGCATGGGCAGTGGAGCATGTGCAGTGGAGCATGTGCAGTGGAGCATGTGCAGTGGAGCATGGGCAGTGGAGCATGTGCAGTGGAGCATGTGCAGTGGAGCATGGGCAGTGGAGCATGTGCATGTGAAACTGGATGCGTGTGGCAATGTGGTTAAAAGAGCTGTGCTGCTGTAATCATGTGGTGATGCAGAAGAGCTTGCAGCAGACGGAGCAGGGAGGGTGCAGGAGAAGGAACAGGAGAGGGAGCAGGAGAGTAAGAGCATCAAAATACATAACGGAACCAAGAAGTCAAGAAAAGAGAGCACTGGGAGGAGGAGGAGGAGAGCACTGGGAGGAGGAGGAGAGCACTGGGAGGAGGAGGAGAGCACTGGGAGGAGGAGGAGAGCGGGTACCATCAGGGCGGGAGAGCAAGCCTGGTGTGTCTGTGACCTGACAGTAAACAGTAAGAGGATTGGAGGAGCAGAGCAAGGCAGAAAGGGATTAAATGTCAGCAGAACCGTTTTGAGGAGCACCGACAGAAGCAGCAGCAGAAAGGAGCAAGGATGGTGGTGAGAGCGAGACAGAGAGTCGGCTCCAGAACTGGAGGTAAAGCACACCCTACACCTGTAAAATCCCCGCTGCATGCTCACAGGGAAGCTATGATAACACAAGATGGTGCACGTGTAAGCAATGCACCATGCACCGTGTACGATGCACCTTGCCCTATGCCCCATGCGCAAATGCACGCGCCATGCATGCACTGACCTGGTGCTTCTGGCCATCCACATAGAAGTGCCCCATGCACCACTCCACGCCCCATGCGCTATACACCATGTAACGCCATGCATCGCATGCACTGACCTGGTGCTTCTGGCCATCCACATAGAAGTGCCCCATGCTGATGCCGCGCGTGGTGAATGGGTAGTTGCACACCTGCATGCATGCAGGCACGCACATAGACATGCATGCATACAGTCATGCATTCGCACAGACATGCACAGACATGCATGCACACTCACATGCATGCACACAGACATGCATGCACACAGACATGCATGCACACGGATGCATGTACACAGACATGCATGCACACAGACATGCATGCACACGGACATGCATGCACACAGACATGCATGCACACAGACATGCATGCACACAGACATGCATTCACACAGACATGCATGCACATAGACATGCATGCACACAGACATGCATTCACAGAGACATGCATTCACACAGACATGCATTCACACAGACATGCATGCACATAGACACGCATGCACACAGACATGCATTCACAGAGACATGCATGCACACAGACATGCATTCACACAGACATGCATTCACACAGACATGCATGCACACAGACATGCATGCACATAGACATGCATGCACACAGACATGCATTCACACAGACATGCATTCACACAAACATGCATGCACACAGACATGCATTCACAGAGACATGCATGCACACAGACATGCATTCACACAGACATGCATTCACACAGACATGCATGCACACAGACATGCATGCACACAGACATGCATGCACACAGACATGCATTCACACAGACATGCATTCACACAGACATGCATTCACACAGACATGCATTCACACAGACATGCATGCACATAGACATGCATGCACACAGACATGCATTCACACAGACATGCATTCACACAGACATGCATTCACACAGACATGCATTCACACAGACATGCATTCACACAGACATGCATTCACACAGACATGCATTCACACAGACATGCATGCACAAAGACATGCATGCACACAGACATGCATTCACACAGACATGCATTCACACAGACATGCATTCACACAGACATGCATTCACACAGACATGCATTCACACAGACATGCATTCACACAGACATGCATTCACACAGACATGCATTCACACAGACATGCATTCACACAGACATGCATGCACACAGACATGCATTCACACAGACATGCATTCACACAGACATGCATTCACACAGACATGCATTCACACAGACATGCATTCACACAGACATGCATTCACACAGACATGCATTCACACAGACATGCATCCACACAGACATGCATTCACACAGACATGCATTCACACAGACATGCATGCACATAGACATGCATGCACACAGACATGCATTCACACAGACATGCATGCACATAGACATGCATGCACACAGACATGCATTCACACAGACATGCATGCATGAAAGGAAGAAGTACTGGCAGTTGGGACAGCACACCAAGGGCACACACAGTAATGGGTGGTGTGAGAAGAAGAGGTTGAAATGAAGTTGATGATTTGATAGAGAAACAAGGGGGTATACATAGTAATGGGGTTGGATGCTAGCCTAAGGTGCCATTATTGGACCCCAACCAAGAAGTTGGGTTGGGAGATTATTGGTGGGGTCCAATAATGTTGGCCAAGTTGGGGTTGGGCCAACATTATTGGAGGGGGCCAATAATTCTACCCAACCCAACCTTTTGGGGTCCAATAATTGGACCAAGGTTGGGTTCCAACCTACAAACTGGGTTACCCCTATTTGTACACCCAAACTAAGTTTGGGTGCTTAACTCTAGCCTAACCTATAGCATATATGCAGGTTACAAGAGGAGAGGGATTCTAACAGGTGGTTGCACACAGTAATGGTTGGTTGCACACAGTAATGGGTGGTTGCACACAGTAATGGGTGGTTGCACACAGTAATGGGTGGTTGCACACAGTAATGGGTGGTTGCACACAGTAATGGGTGGTTGCACACAGTAATGGGTGGTTGCACACAGAGCAACACCCCCCCCTCCCCCCCCACCCCCCCTCTCCCCCCCCCCCCCGGTCCTTCCCCCCCCCCGCACACACACCCACATGCAATCCCTCCCCCGCCCCTTCCCCCACAAGCCCACCCACACACCCACACACCTCCGGCTTGCCGGACGAGATGGGGCGCACTAGCTATGTCTTGCCCACGTTGGGCGCGCCCACCAGGCACACCCACACACGAGACGTGCACGCATCCACCCACCCACCCACCCAACCACACACGCAACCACCATCCCCCCACTCAGCCCCCCTCCCCCGCCCCCCACACCTACACCCACCCACCCACCTCAGCCTTGCCAGAGGAGATGGCACGCACGAGGAGAGATTTGCCCACGTTGCCATGCACACACCCATCCCCCCATCCCCCCATCTCCCCCTCGCCCACCCCTTACACACACACACACACACACCCATACACGCACCTCGGGCTTCCCAGTGGAGATGGCGCGCACGAGGGATGACTTGCCCACGTTGGGCGCCCCCACCAGGCACAGCGTTGGCAGGTCCGGCCGAACCACCGGTATGGCTCGGAGCCTCTGAGACACGGTGGGTGCAGGCAGGGCGGGGATGGAGCAGGGGGGAGAATGGTGATGGCAGGCACAGCACACACAGCGTGGGCAGGTCCCATCGCAGCACCGGTATGGCTCGGAGCCTCTGAGGCACGGGCGAGCATGGAGGGAAGCAGCGGAGCAAGGAAGGGAGCAGGGAGAACAGCGGTGGTAGGCACACCAAACACAGCGTGGGCAGGTCCCATCGCAGCACCGGTATGGCTCGGAGCCTCTGAGGCACGGAGGAGTAGGCAGGAGCAGGGGATAGAGTGGAGCGGAGTGATGGCGCAGCGAGGAGGGGTTCGAGGACGGCAGGGAGAAGAGAAGCGTGATGGTAGGCACAGCTGTGGTGGCAGCGCGGCAGGCCTTGAGACGGTCGCAAAAGCGTTTGGCCACCACAACAGTATGACACAGAGCTGCCCGGAACTTACCAGAAAATTGCGGCAGCAGCGGTGACCTTGGTGATGTCTTTGACCTGACCTGACCTTGGTGATGTCTTACCAGAAAATTGCGGCAGCAGCGGAACTGACCTGACCTTGGTGATGTCTTCGAGTCGCTACACCAACCAAACCAAGAGATTGCTGCGACTTGGAGTCAGACTCACAGTCCATTGCTGCACCCAGTTATCAGCACTCACTGACCTTGGCGAGGCCCTTGAGTCTCTCCACCATGTGGCTGCTGCTGCGTGTGTGTGTGTGTGTATAGCTCCTCCACCTATGAGGCGCCTCACTAATACACTACACCACACGACTGTTGCGCCTTCGAGTGGACTCACGAGCCATTTGCTGCGCCAAGCTGTCAGCTCAGCACGCACTGACCTTGGTGATCTCTTTGAGTCGCTCCACCACATGGCTGTTGCGCGTGTACAGCTCCTCCACCTGTGCCATGCCCTGATCGGGGTGACACAGGGCGAGGGGCGGAGCAGAGAGGGAAAGCAAGCAAGGGAAAGTGGGCGCCGGGACGGGAAGTGGCTGTTGCTCCTCCACCTGTGCCATGCCCTGATGGTGGTGCGAGGGGTGACAGGACGAGGGGTGAAGCAGGGAGGGGCAGCGAGGAAGGGGAAGTTGGCACCGGGAAGTGGCTGTTGCGTGTGTATAGCTCCTCCACCTGTGTGTCATTGTGTGTCACGGGCATGGCCTGTTGAGGCGAGGGGTGGAGCACGGAGGGAAAGCAAGGAAGGGGAACATGGAGATGGGAAGTGGCTGTTGCACCAAAGGAGATGCGAGGAGAACGGAACGTGGAACGATCTCGTGTTTAATAAGAACAAGAAGTTCCGGTTTGGAAGTTTTATTAAACAACAAGTGCTGAGTGAAAGAAATTAAAAGCCAGGAGGGTACTCAGACAGACGAAGGGTGAAGGAAGCCATTTTAAGGCCCCACAGGAGTTCCCCTGCAGTGCAGCTCTAGCAGCTCTAAGGGAACTCTCATGCTGCTTGTGCTGCAGACAGTACCTGAGAGTACCTGTGCAGTGCAGTGCAGCTCTAGCTAGCAGCTCTAAGGGAGCCCGAGAGTACCTGTGCAGTGCAGCTCTAGCTAGCAGCTCTAAGGGAGCCCGAGAGAGTACCTGTGCAGTGGCCTGCTCCGCCTCCTTCACGGTGCTCGTCTGCACGGGACAGGGCGTTCAGAACAAGGGGCTACACAATGTAAGCGCCAGCCGGGACAGCAGTCAGGGATGGGACACGTGCACTGCCCTCACACGCGCAGTGCCCCCCCATGCGCAGTGCCCCCCCATGCGCAGTGCCCCCCCATGCGCAGTGCCCCCCCATGCGCAGTGCCCCCCCATAGACATGACCTTGGCCGAACAGGATCAAATAAAAACGACATGGATAAGGCTGCAGATCCAGAGGCTAGCTACGACGGCGGCAGCACACACCGCACCGCACCGCACAGTACCCACCTTGTTGACAAGGCTGGCAGCATTCTTGCCCACGTCCAGCACCCTCTTGCGCAGGGCGTCCACTCGAGAGAGCACCTGGCGGGAGAGCAGAGCAGAGCACAGCACAGCACAGCACAGCACAGCACAGCACAGCACAGCACAGCACAGCACAGCACAGCACAGCACAGCACAGCACAGCACAGCACAGCACAGCACAGCGCAGCCAGAGGCGAGAAGCAGAGCAGAGTCATATGCAGAAACCCCTTGAAACCAGGTGCTGTTTGAGTCGACTCGATACGTTCTTGCCCACGTCCAGCACCCTCTTGCGAAGGGCGTCCACGCGAGACAGCACCTGGCGGGCAGCACAGCACACACAAACGCGAGCAACTAGGCAGCGGCACCGCTTAGAATCCCAGTGAAACCATCTGCACCGGAATGAAGAGTGGGATGGTGGGCAGTGTGGGTGAGGTTAGTCCAGCTGTTACCCATGTTGGAGTGAGGGAGCATGTGATCAAGAGCAGGCAGGCACTCCCCACTTGCTGGTCGAAACTCTTCCAGGCACTCTCCAAGTGGGACCACCACGTCTGAACTCAAAATGTCGAGCCGCGCCTGCAACGCCGTCACCTCTTTGTCAACCTTCCTCACCCTTCTCAAACCTTCTCAACCTTCCTCCGCCTCCTCAACACCCACCACACTGCCTCACCTGCTCGTACACGCCCTCGCCCAAGGTTAGCCTTCCTCACCTCCTCCAGGGAGCGCACACAGGGTGCAGCTGGTGGCGGCAGGGGGAGTGAGGCACAGACAGGGCAACCCAAAGGTCCCCTCAGCCACACAAGCCAAGCCAGAGCAGCACTCACTATCTAAACCAAATATCTCCTCTCCCCTCCCCTCCACCCTCACCGCCTCATCACCCTACCTCTCTCAGCGCATCACCTCTCTCCTCTCTCACCACCTCACCTCCTCATCACCCCCTTCTCCGAGGGTGAGGTCCACCAGCTGGCGCTCAAGGGGTGCAGTGCAGCTGGGGGCGGTGGGGGAAACGAGTGGGGCGCAGGCAGACACACAGGCCAACCCAGGGGTCTCACTCCCCTCCTCACTCTCTCTCCTCCCTCACCGCCTCACCTGCTCACCTCCTCATACACGCCCTCTCCGAGGGTGAGCTCCACCAGGCAGCGCTCAAAGGGGTGCAGCTGGGAGCGCCGGGGGAAGTGAGTGAGCTCCCTCACCATTGCAATCACCGCCACACTCCCTCACCGCCTCATATTCTCACCTCCTCGTACACCCCTTCTCCAAGGGTGAGCTCCACCAGGCAGCGCTCAAAGGGGTGCAGGTGGGAGCGCCGGGGGAAGAGGCGCACGTAGCGCCCCAGAGGACCGCTGATCTCCTGCGGAATGAGGGCAGGCAGGGTGAAGGGTTGAGGGGTGAGGGGTTGAGGGGTAACGGGTTGCGGGGTGAGGGGTTGCGGGGTGAGGGGTTGAGGGGTGAGGGTTTTACAGGGTGAGGGTTTTATGGGGTGAGGGTTTTACGGGGTGAGGGGTTTACGGGGTGAGGGTTTTACAGGGTGAGGGTTTTACAGGGTGAGGGTTTTATGGGGTGAGGGTTTTACGGGGTGAGGGGTTTACGGGGTGAGGGTTTTACAGGGTGAGGGTTTTACAGGGTGAGGGTTTTATGGGGTGAGGGTTTTACGGGGTGAGGGTTTTACGGGGTGAGGGTTTTACAGGGTGAGGGTTTTACAGGGTGAGGGTTTTACAGGGTGAGGGCTTTACAGGGTGAGGGCTTTACAGGGTGAGGGGTTGAGGGATGTGGACGATGCGCGAGGGGCAGAGGAGTTGAATGTGACAGAAAGTGTGAGAGCAGGGTGGGATACTAGAAAAGGAGTCAAACACGAGGGAAATGCGTTCCCTCATGGATGTGTGTAAGGAATTGTAGCTACCAAGACATACAACCAGAAAAGGCATTCATGCTATACATGTACCACCAGGATGCCCCACATGCCCTGCGTGCTCCACGTGCCATACATGCCTTGGTAAGGCAGTCCAGTTGTTGGGCTCCTTTGCTCCTCTCCCTCTTCGCTGCATTCATGATGCCTGCACCCACCCTCGCATGCATGCACGCACCCACCCAGTTCACCCACCCACACCCGCCCATCAACCCACCCACTCACGCGCCATTAATGCATTGAATCTGTAGATACGAAAGCAAGCTCGGTAAACGCGTCATGCACAATGCATCAACCAAATTCGCAAGATGGAATTCGGGTTTCGGGGTCTCTGAATTCAGTTTTCGGGTTCACACATCAGCTGATAAGCTCGGTTCACACATCAGGTGATAAGCTCGGTTCACACATCAGGTGATAAGCTCAACATGTCAGAAAAGACGCCTGAGTGTGAGTGTGCGCTCGAGGGGAAGAGGTGAAGGGGGATATTGCTAAGATCAAGGGAGCGACAGAGGAAGGATCAGGATTCAGCACGCACTCACGCCTATGCTCACCTCTGCTCGCGCGTACGTGCTTGGCGCGTCGAAGCGCCGTGCCGATAATCTCCGCAGCGGGCGACACGGCAGGCAGCTGCTGTAGCGCGCCGATGGCGAACTGTCGCTTGCTCTGGGGAGGCGCGGAAGCCGGGGCGGCGGAAGACGCGGAAGAGTCGGAAGCGTCGGCGGAGGATGAGGGGGAGGATGCGGGGGAGGGTGAGGGGGAAGGCGGGGAGGAAGCAGCTGTTCCGTCTGCGTTGCTGGAGCCTTCAACGGCGGAAATAGCGGCGGATTCAGTGGCACGGAGAGGAGGCGCGGCATGACGACGGACGAAAAGTGACGGCGAGAGTGGGAGGGGGAAGCAGAAAGAGTCGATGCGCGCTAAAGCGGCGCCACGCGTGGCGGTGGCACCCGTAAAGGCGGCATGGGGGGTGACACGGGTAGTAGCGGCGACACGCGCATCAGTTGCGGCGTGCACGGCGGTTCTGTGAATCGCTCGTCGCCTTGCGACATCGCTTATGCGACGCTCAACGACGGCGGCGATGGGGACGACATTGACGACTTCGAGACGAAAGGGAAGTCGCCCGTCGCTGAAGAGTCGCGAAGGGACACGTGTAGGCGATTGATAGCTTCGAGCGCGAGTGATCCGGAAGCGACTAATTCTAGGGTTTCGGCTTCTATTCTGGCTCCAGGGAAGCGACGCTAGCGTCGGCTCCGCGTGACGGCATGTGAGCCGGTGGCATGTGAACCGCACTGCACCGCAATGCGTGGCGACTTGCATGGCAGCTCGGGTGGAGCCGACAGCCCGACGAAGCGCGCCGGCGTTGAAATGGAGATGTCTAGAATAGACTTTCGAGAAGGTAGTCTAGAGGTTGGAGCAAACGAGAAGTTGGGCGAGCAGAGCGACCGAGGGACAAAGGATCAGGGGAGGCTCTCGTGTCTTCACCGACCCTCTGGTACTAAGTCTGATCAAACGTGTGCGATCAATTTCACCGAAAAACCAAAATGTTTCATGTGACAATCTGGTACACAAAGTTGCGCTAAAATTCTTTTCGCGAACGTATTCCCTCGCAATTTCGGCAAATCGCTAGTCAGCGATCGATCGTGCTTGACTACTGACGCCCTGTCGTGATTGGAGTGGCTTCCCCGGCACGGTCGGTTGCCCTATTTGAACCCCGCAAATGGGGCTGAATAAGGACTTCACGCATGGTAACTACCGGTAAGAAACCACCCAGGAAAGCCATACCGGCTCCTTGGCGATCAGTGCGAGTACCTGCGTCGTAAAGGACGAAAGGCATCTCAGTCAATTGTAGTCCTCAGCTCTTCGCTGCTGTTTTGTATTTCAGGGAATGATGGAATGTTACATAAACATCTGTCTTACGTGTTGTTTTGAATTCATATAGTTCCAAACAGATAGCCATGTTAAACGTCATGTCATAATTTATAGCGTAAAATAAGAACAGCCCCACAAAGACTCAAGAAAAACGAAGATCCCCCTTATCTTCCTGCCAAGCTTGAATCAACTGAAGGGAGGAGAAAGTTACTACGGCTTCTGCACTGCATCCACACCATGGATAATGAAAAACTTGCCCTTATACAGATTGGAATTCTTGATTCGTGCCTTCCCCTTTCCGATTAAGGGCTTCCCCTTCCGTCCCTTAACACCGTTCACTGTCACGGCCTTAGGCACCTGGCGACCATTTCCGTCCTTCAACACCTTGGCGTTACTGATGTCATTCTCGTCGTAGACCCCGGCAAGCAAATTAGACCGAATCATCGATGCATAGCCGCGAACCTCCTGGCGCTTCAGACCCGGCTTCATCATGTCGTAGAGGGCACCAGGGGCCGCGGAACCGATTGCGGTGTCTTCAGGCAGCAGAACGGTTTTGCCGACGGCTGAAGCGAGGAACGCGTCCGTTGGATTCCAATTGTTCTCTGATGCACACGAAAAATGAACGAGGTGAGATAACTAAGACAGAAAAGCAAAAGACCGTCTTTTAGGGAGAAAAGTAGTGCGCAAAACATGGTTACCCAGTTGAGGGATGAGCGTGTCAAGAAAAATGCCGCTGGCGCGATATTGGGTACTCAGTTTGGGGTCCTTAAGCGCGGCTCGAACGTTCTTAACCTCCGCAATCAGCTGCTCCTTGCTGGGCCGCTTCGCCGCAGCAGGCGCCAGCAGCAACGCTAGCGTCCAGATGGCAAGAAAAGAAAGCTGTCGCGACAAAACCATGGTGGATGCACAACTGGGTAGTAAGAAACTGAAGTGGCATGAAACTGCTCGAGAAGAGTCTGATATCCACGTTCTTGGTTTCCAGTTAAAAATTGGACACACTCGAAGCACCAACACTCGTGCCTTGAATTGTGCAAGGCGGTGGAGAGCAGAACTCAAAACCCCGAGGCGGAAGCTCAACCAGATGAAGTTGCCAACGTGGCAGTGCTTCCCCTTCAGATCTGGTTCTATAGGGTCATCTAGTAGTAGTCACCCTCCGAATTTTTGCTCAAAGGTGTATCTAGAGTCCTCCATATTCCGGAAATTCGTATGTATTTATACATTATTTGGGCACCTGCTTCATACAGAGAGTTGCAGGCTCGTGTGCCTGCAAAACGGCTCCAGCTGGCTGCGGAACGGCTGCTGGCTGCGACATGGATCGGTCGGAAGATACACTGTACAGTAGTATGCCAGCGGAAAGGATGGCGAGTGCGGAACGAAGGGCTGCAATTTGCGCCCGATGTGCAGCTCGATAAATAATATGTGACATCACCCGAGGCAGAAAGGTTTGCCAAACCTTCTTTCGAACATCACACATGTCTGTCCAGCATTCAGACACTTTTGGGTAAGCAGTGCATGACTCAGGCAGCAAGATCGGGGGATTTTGGCGTCATTGCAGAACTGGTACTATTTCCTGCGGGAAAAACGCGTTCCATTCCCAGTTCGGGCAAACAAGAGCCTTTGCCCCAGCCATCCTCCCCTCTCCCCTCAACTTCTACCCTCTCCTCCCTCTAGGGTTTTTATACGGGCCGTCACAAAACATTCAGGAGTTATCACGAGTAGTCAAGTGTTCCGCCAAATCTATCACGGACAGTCACAAAATCCGCCAAATCTATCACGAACCATCACACGGGTATCACCCGCCGTCACTCAAAGGCACTAATTTCTATCACGGGTAGTCACACTCGAAACTTTGCTATCCCAGATGAGCCCTGTCATCATTTCGTTGACCCGCCCTGAAACACTGTACAGATTTAGGGACTTTATTTCGGGTTGCTCGTTTTTGTCCTGTATACGCGGCCATTTTGGGTGCAAAGATACCTGGTTACGTTCGAATCGTCGTAACACACAATATCAAACGAACGCATAGATATATATATTGCTAGAGTTAACGATTTAAAGTATCTTCCAGAATGTTTAATCACATGTCATTGTGTGATTTAACGGTTGCATATAGTATGTTCTATCATTTACAAACTGGGTCTTGTGATACCCAAAATCCTTCGCTAGTTTTGCCAGACAATTCTGATATGTGCAAATCCGATTTGGTATGAGGCGTATCATACAAAAAAAAATATAACTTGCGTTCCTAGTTATGGATTGTTTAACATTTTGATAAACATTTAGGCAGATTCAATGAATTGTGAACTCTAGCAATACATATATGCGTTCGAATTCTTTCATAAAATTTGTGAACCATTATGTTTTGTTACGACGATTCGAACGTAACCAGGTATCTTTGCACCCAAAATGGTCGCGTATACAGGACAAAAATGAGCAACCCGAAATAAAGTCCCTACCGTCATCGCCCGGATATAAGACATATATGTCTTATCTCGTACACTGGCAAAAATGCTTGAGTTATCTTGTAAACGGGATGGTTTAGGGTGTCTTATAAGTCTTATAAATGGAAACTTTTTAAACTACTTGGAAATATTTTCGTACTTCTTTAAAAAGAGTTTCTCATAATGCGTGTGGATGTTGCGAAGGTGCCACTTCGACAACCTCTGCCCGAGACGCCACGTTATGGAGAACACCTGCAGGGGCAAATTTGGTAGGTCCTGGGTCAGCGCGTGGAAGAATTCGCGCTTCGCAAGGGTAAAAAAGTACGCGGTACTTCAACTTTCGCTATAATTTATTGAAGTTTCGATTATAAGACATATATGTCTTATCTCATACACACAAATAGGTGTCTTATAATGAGGCTAGCCTGTTTATAAGAGACACCCGTATAGTAGACAACCCCTGTCTACTATTCAACACTGTCTTATATCCGGGTGATGACGGTAAATCTGTACAGTGTTTCAGGGCGGGTCAACGAAATGATGACAGGGCTCATGTGGGATAGCAAAGTTTCGAGTGTGACTACCCGTGATAGAAATTAGTGCCTTTGAGTGACGGCGGGTGATACCCGTGTGATGGTTCGTGATAGATTTGGCGGATTTTGTGACTGTCCGTGATAGATTTGGCGGAACATTTGACTACTCGTGATAACTCCTAAATGTTTTGTGACGGCCCGTATAAAAACCCCTCCCTCTATCGCGCTTCCCTCCCCATCCACTGGTTCCTTTCCCTCTCCCCCCTGCCCGCGCCAAAACCCAAAAGGCTCTTCGCAGGTGTGACCTCCACATTTGGAGACCTACAATTTATTCGCAATAACCTGTAAGCTGGCATTGACTTGAACAGAATAATTTATGCTCATTTTCCTTCGCCGCCAGGGGCAAAAAGACGACAGAGTGTCTGTAACAGTTCAAACATATGTCCGCAACCTTTGGTTTCCAAAGGTTTGGAGGGCGGCTCCCCTTGAAAAATTGTCTTGGAAACGCGGGGTTTGCTAGTCGCGGTATGAGTGACTGACTGTAAGCTGTGTTACGTTATCCAGACTGTTTTCCAAAATGATTTAGTTCTACTGAAATTATACGCAGCGAGGTTGAGAATTTTGTGTACACACAGTTTACGCTATCATCATTCCGTCCAAGTGACGTGGCAGAGCTGCCACAAAATGCTGCTGCCCGGGTGAACAATCGGAGTGCCCGTTGCACCTACATTCCGCCAAAAATACACTTCCTTCGATGCTGGACATTCTTTGGGTTGTACGTTTCTATCTCGTGTCCTACATTAGGTTTGACACGAAGTGGAGGTTGGGAAGACCCGAAGTGGCTCGTTTTTGGGGCGATTAGAACAGGGCTGACTATTCAAAAAAATCCTGTCTGATGTTCTGGGGGCTCTGAAAATTTTTACTCTGAGGCATATTTCCCAGAGAATGGCCACTCTGATTTTTCAGGTTCCGCAAAAACACAAGTCTGAAGTACTCAGAACACACTACAACCACTGCAGTACAGTACTGCCACAAATGTAGCACGTGGGGCGCAACGCTAACCAGTTTCCCTCGCTGACACCGCGTAGCTGCAGTGATGGTCCCGCGTGAGTGGAAGAGTGAGCCAAGTTGGCAGATTTCTAAGGGAAAAGGGTGGCAAAAGTTGCCAAGGACAGATTCTGCGCGTGACAGCGCCATGAAATGTGTTCGTACACTGGCAACATATGACGTAGCGGAATGTACGTAGAAATCACAGATCCGCATTTCAGGATCCGTACTCCCTGTAGTATGAAGACCCATTATCGGCTAAGTCAGTACTCTGAAAATCTCAGGATCCAAAACCAAGTAAGTCTGAGGCACTCATGTTTGAAAATCTTACAAGTCTGAAAAATCAGGATCTGTAGGAAAATACCCTGAGATTTCAGACAATCAGACTATTTTAGTCTGATAAAGTCAACCCTGGATTAGAAGCTCGAAAGAGACAAATTGGAGACTAAGGCCGCATGACTTGATGTCTGACACGGGATAGAAACATCCCTTTGATAACTTGAAATCAGGGTGATCGGGCGGCTATTTTCTAAGTGACCATTAGCGTGATCATTCGCCATTTCTTAGGGTATATAGTCGGCAAAAATTTCGCGAATGGAACGTCTCGGGAAGCATCCCATAAACCGCTTCTATTCGTGGTCGCAGTGCAGTGAACGCCGTTAACATTTCGCCGAACTCGTCGTAACGCTGGCCGGATTACGCATGGCTGCTGTACGCGTTATTGAGCCCGAAGCTAGTTACCATTCGCATATTTTCCCTCGTGTTTTCACTTACCGTTCCCTCTATCACAAATCTGGCCTCCTACCATTTCTAGCATTGTTACATCCTAGTCTTCGCGAAACAAGATACGGTATCCCTCTTTCATCCCAGCACCGCACGCTTCGTCTGTCAGCTTCACCCGAGCTGCCAAGCCGCCGCGCATTGCGCGGTGCCCTCACATGCCGCCACGTGGAACGGACGCTGAAAACTTAGAAGCGTTCTTCTCAGAATCACTAGTAGCGCTTAGGTTGTCGCTGGCCAAAATGATTTCTGGCGACTCGTCAGCGACGGACGACTTTCCGCTCGTCTCGACCTCCTCGGGGTCGTCGCCATCGCCGCCGTCGTTGAGCGTCGCATAAGCGATGTCGCACGGCGACGAGCGAATCACAGAACCGCCGTGGGCGCCGTGTGCGCGTGTCGCCGCTGCTACCCTTGTCGTCCCCCACGTCGCCAATGCGCGCGTCGCCGCCACGCATAGGTGCCGCTGTCGCACACATCGACTCGTTCTGTATCTCCCTTCCTCTCGCCGGCCCTTCCCGTCCGTCGTTAATCCACGCCTCCCCTTCCTGCCAGGAAGTGCCATCTGCCCTGTCACGAGTGCTGAATTCGACGCAATCGCCGCCGCTGAAGACGACCGCCGTGCCGGCCGCTGCTGAAATCATCGGTGCGGCGAAACGGCACGCTGGAAAGCACGTGCGCGGGAGCAGAGGTGAGAGGCGGTGGCAGAGACGAGTTCATTAGACCCACATATGACTGTGCGCTCGCGCGAGCAGAGGTGAGAGGCGAGCAGAAGTGAGAGGCGAGCAGAAGTGAGAGGCGAGCAGAGGTGAGCGGCAAGCAGAGGTGAGTGTGGTGGTGGAAGAGAGGGGTGCATGGCAGAGAGGGGTGCGTGCTGATCCTTCTCCCTCGCTCTCCCTCGCTCCCTCACTCTTTACCCTATCCCACGAATTTTGCTCCCTCTCCGCACTCCCGCCTTCCACGCGGCGCGCAATGGCATGTGCATGCGAGCAAGGTGATGAGTGGCGGCGCGGTGCTGGCAGCGAGGGGTACGTGGTGATCCTTTCTCCCTCGCTCCCTCACTCTTAACCTTATCCCACGGAATTCGCTCCCTCTCTTCCTCCCTCATTCCTTCCTGCTCTGCGACGCGCCAAGCTCATGCGCGCGAAAAGAGGTGAGTGGCGGTGTGGAGCTGGGCAGCTAATCAGAAAACGAGGGAGATTGTAAAAAGGTCCCTAGTCTGAAAGCCGAACACAGTAGGCTAGGATCATATGTCATAAAAAAGCCTTCACAGGCGCACTAGAATCGTGGGTCCAACGTGCCATGAGTGAGGGAGCGGCGGAGGAAGGATCACACCACTCGCTCATAACCACCCCCTGCCACTCATCACGAGGGAACTAGCACCACACACCCGTCGCTGCCAGCACCGCACACCTGTCGCTGCCAGCACCGCACACCCCGTAGGTTTTTCACGTACCCCTAGAGAGCTTGCCACGCTTTGAATCCAGTCATTTCCCAATGTTGGACCCACAATTGACTGCTTCGGTCATTGTTTATCCCTGCCCACTCAAAGGCCATCCCGTGTTGCAATGGTGGCTCTGGCACGCACACGTATGGGTGTGGGGCAGCCCAATGCACATGCAGATGCACATGCACATGCAGATGCACATGCACATGCGACGGATGAACGGGCAGACCTCCTCCGGGTGCTCTTCCTTCACCCCAGGGCTGTGAGCGCCGTCACTCACCTGAGCCCGCGGTTGACGAGGTGATGAACGGTGAGAAACGGTGAGTAGGATCGAGAATGGTTGAGACTGTATTGGTTGAGTAACGAGTTGCGATCAGCAGGCGGGGAGTATCTGCTGCTGTTCAGACGGTCACTTAGCCACATATCTCCATGGTAACTACCCGTCTGCACTGACCTTCCCTTCCCCTCAGTGCCTGTGTAACCCGTCCGCGTGGCCTTCCTTCCTCCACCCGTGCATTGCAGTGCTGCTGGGCTCAACTCTTTTCCCCCGATGAGCGGCGGCGGCAGCGACGGGCCAGTGAGTGGTGCCCCCCTCACCTCACGCGCCGTCTCAACGTGAGCACTCACTCCCCCGCGCCCCGGCACTCCCTAACGAAGAGCCAGTGCGGGGAGCATATGGAGGGGGGGGGGACGGGGGGGCATAGGAGTAGCAGCAGCCAGCGTGGCAGGCGTGGCAGCAGGGAAAGGCACAGGAATGGCCAGGGAAGGCACAGGCCTGGCAGGGGAAGGCACAGGCCTGGCAGGGGAAGGCACAGGCCTGGCAGGGGAAGGCACAGGCCTGGCAGGGGAAGGCACAGGCCTGGCAGGGGAAGGCACAGGCCTGGCAGGGTAAGGCACAGGCCTGGCAGGGGAAGGCACAGGCCTGGCAGGGGAAGGCACAGGCCTGGCAGAGGAAGGCACAGGCCTGGCAGGGGAAGGCACAGGCCTGGCAGGATAAGGCACAGGCCTGGCAGGGGAAGGCACAGGCCTGGCAGGGGAAGGCACAGGCCTGGCAGGGGAAGGCACAGGCCTGGCAGGGGAAGGCACAGGCTTGGCAGGGGAAGGCACAGGCCTGGCAGAGGAAGGCACAGGCCTGGCAGGGGAAGGCACAGGCCTGGCAGGGTAAGGCACAGGCCTGGCAGGGGAAGGCACAGGCCTGGCAGGGGAAGGCACAGGCCTGGCAGGGGAAGGCACAGGCCTGGCAGGGGAAGGCACAGGCCTGGCAGGGCTGGGCTGGGCTGGGCTGGGCTGGGCTGGGCTGGGCTGCCCCACTGCTCTCCCATGTGCACCCACTGCCCTCCCATCTGCACCCACTGCTCTCCCATCTGCACCCACTGCTCTCCCATGTGCACCCACTGCCCTCCCATGTGCACCCACTGCTCTCCCATGTGCACCCACTGCCCTCCCATGTGCACCCACTGCTCTCCCATGTGCACCCACTGCCCTCCCATGTGCACCCACTGCTCTCCCATGTGCACCCACTGCCCTCCCATGTGCACCCACTGCTCTCCCATGTGCACCCACTGCCCTCCCATGTGCACCCACTGCTCTCCCATGTGCACCCACTGCCCTCCCATGTGTACTCACAAGGTGGAGAATGTGGAGCAGATTTGACCCGAGGTTCTTCAAGAACCCGATCCATTCACTCAGTTACTTCCAAATCATGTCTGTTGGCTGCTTTTTTGGCATGATGGTACCGGTATATTGTACGGATGGGGCTTTCTGCGTTGCTGCAGGGACGGTGTCATGTCATTGATTATATTAGCATATGATACATGGTATAAAAGATACATTGAACGAGAATTCCCCCGTTTGCACCCTGCCAGACCCGACAGAAGCATACCGGTACTACATTACTGCGGCATCTGCACTCCGTCCACACCGTGGATAACGAAAAACCTCCCCTTGAACAGCTTGGGGTGCTTGATTTTCGCCTTGCCCTTTCCGATGCGTATCTTCTTTATCCAACCCCCCAAGCCGTTGGGCGTCACAGTGACAGCCGTGTCCACCTTGCGACCATTGTCATCCCGTAACACCTTGGCGGTAGCAATGTCCTTCTCCTCTGGTAACACCCCGTCGAGAATATTCGAACGAATCCACGAAGCATAGGAGCGAAGCTCTTGGCGCTTCAGATCCGGCTTCACCATGTTGTAGATGGCATTAGGCGCCGCGGATTTGATTGCGCTGTCTTCGGGTAAGAGGACAGTTTTGCCGTCGGCTGAGGCGAGGAACGCGTCCGTTGGGTTCCAGTTGGTCTCTGAAGCACAGATGAAAAAAAAAAAGCAACGAGAAAAATATTTGAGAAGGTAGTAATTTCAAACATAAGTTGTTGCTGTGGTGTTTTTATCTTTTCTTTAATTGGATAGGGGAGAAACAGATGTGAAAATTCCACAGAATAAATGAGTTCATCACGGTACCCAGTTGAGGGATGAGGCGATCAAGCAGCACGCTGCTGGCGCGATATCGGCCATTCAGTTTGGGGTTCTTGAGCGCGTCGCGGGCCTTCTTCACCTCCGCAATCAGCTGTCCCTTGCTGGGCCGCCGCCTCGCCGCCGCAGCAGGCGCCAGCAGTAAAACTAGCGTAATGGCAAGAACAGAAATCTGTCGCGACAAAGCCATAGTGCACGCACGACTGGGGTGACGAAGCTAAAATGCGTCGTCAACGTGCTGGGGGAAAGATGTTCTGGATCTGGAACGGAACCTACAGCTTTTGCTCGTGACGGAATTTCTGACGAAATCGGGGTTATGTTTCTGACGAAATTGAGAGTTTGCTAGTGGTGCGGTGACAAGTTTCGCAGCCAATATAAGTAAGTCGTTCGGCCTCGCGCGGGGAGCTTCACATCACAACCACAATTTCGTGAGAGCTTCAAGGGAGTTCGCCGCGGCGCGGAAGACCTCATTTTTGCTGGAGGTCCGTCTGTTGCGGCCAGGTGAATGTCCGCCTTCCACTCACACCCCGCCCTTCAGGTTTCGCATCAGAGTTTGCCATGGCGCGAAAATTTCAGATTGGGTAACTCTGCAGTATGCAGGTCTGGGGGCTGTTCAGGTAAGTAGGGTTACTGTCGCCACAATCGTTGAGTCGAAACTTTGGCCATGCACACGCGTGAAAACTTCAAGGTGTACGCGTCATTGAGTCCCGTGCTAATTACTTTTCGCATATTTTCCCTATATTTTCACTTACCATTCCCACAATCACTCACTGGGTCCCCTCCCAATTGTAGCAGTGTCGTTGTGGAAACAAGTTGGCTCTTTCATCCCAGCGGTCGCGCGCTTCATCGGTCTGTCAGCTTCACCGGAGCTGCCAAGTCGCCGCGCATTGATGTGCAGTGCTCACATGCTGCCACGTGGAGCGGACGCTAGCGTCGCGTCCCTGGATCCGGATTAGGAGTCTAAAACCTAGTGACACTCGCTTCAGAATAACTCGCGCTCGAAGCTATTGCTGGGCGACACGTGTCCCTTGTCGACCTTCTTCTCGTCTCCGTCGCCGCCGACGTCGACTGTCGCTTACGCGAAGTCGCCCGGCGACGAGCGATTCACAGAACCGCCGTGCACGCTGGGACAGGTAGTGCGTGGTGATGGCAGAGACAACTGCGTGGTGATCCTTTCTCCCTCTCTCTTCAACCTATTCCTAGACTTTCGCTTCCCTTCCCCCTCCCTCCCTCCCGCTCGCGCTGCGTCACGTCAAGCATGTGCGCGCGAGCAGAGGCAAGCGGCAGCGACAGGCTCGTTGGGCTCGATCCCACGTGATGAGGGGAGGTGGGGGGAGGGTGGGGGTGTAGTGATGAGGGGGAGGGGGGGGAAGGGTGGGGGTGTAGTGATGAGGGGGAGGGGGGGGAAGGGTGGGGGTGTAGTGATGAGCGACTGGTGATCCTTCCTCCGTCCTCCCTCGCTCTTAGCGCGGCGTTAGACACACAAATGATTGTTCTGGTCGTTCTTAATCCCCGCTGACCAAAGGCCTTTCGGTGTTGCAACGGTGTATGGGGGTGGCGCGAGCCACTGCACCTGCGCCGGGTGAACATGCCCATGCGCCGGGTGAACATGCACATGCGCCGGGTGAACATGCGCATGCGCCAGGTGAACATGCGCATGCACCGGGTGAACATGCGCATGCGCCGGGTGAACATGCGCATGCGCCAGGTGAACATGCGCATGCGCCAGGTGAACATGCACATGCGCCGGGTGAACATGCCCATGCGCCGGGTGAACATGCACATGCGCCGGGTGAACATGCGCATGCGCCAGGTGAACATGCGCATGCGCCGGGTGAACATGCGCATGCGCCGGGTGAACATGCGCATGCGCCAGGTGAACATGCGCATGCGCCGGGTGAACATGTGCATGCAGTTCAACAGGCCATCTCCGTGTGCTCTTCCTCACGCCCAGGGTTGTGAGCAGCTTCACCCACCTGGGCCAGCGGTTGAGGAGGTGAGGATGGGTGAGAAGGGTTGAGAAGAGGTGAGAAAAGGTGAGAAGGGTTGAGAAGGGTTGAGTGTGTATTGGGTGCATTGGGATCAGCAGGTGGAATAACATCTGCAGTTATTCGCCTATTCCCGTGGTGACCGTCCAGAATCCTGTGTGTGCGGGACCCTTTTGGCCCTCCTCCATGCCCCGTCCGCTCATGCCCGTGCCGTGCTGCTGTGCTCAACTCTTTTCCCCCGTGATGAGCGGTGGCGGCGGCAGCGACGGGCGAGTGAGTGGTGTTCGCTCATGCGACGTGCTGCTCCCCCGGCACTCCCTCCTGCCGTGGCACCGTGCGACCGAGCAGTGATTGGTGGTGAGTGGCTTGGAGGGCGAGAGGGTGGGGGAAGGGGTGGGTGGATGGGGGTTGCGGGGGTGGGGGTGGGGGGGGAATGGGTGGCGTGTGTGGCATGAGTAGCATTTGTGGCAGGCATGTGTGGCATGAGTGTCATGCTCATTATTTTCTCCTACTGCTCCCACGCTCTCATTAGACGCCCCTCCATTTCCCACTCAACTCCTCCCTCAGCCGTTCCCTCTGCTCTAACCATTGCGCCTCCCAACTGCCCTCACCACCCCCCCCCCCCCCCCCACGCCTCCACCCCTCTGCCAACCTTTCTTCCCAGCCCCAATCTCCTCCAACAGAACTCTCGCCAACCGCTGAACCTAAAAATGGTGTGGCACGTGCGAGTGTGCGAGCGTGGGTGCGCGGAGAGATTTGTTTGCGAATCCAGCTTGCACTTGTTGGCACATCGCACACATTGCCTCTCCCTCTCATTGCCTCTCCCTCTCATTGCCTCTCCCTCTCATTGCCTCTTCCTCTCATTGCCTCTTCCTCTCATTGCCTCTCCCTCTCATTGCCTCTCCCTCTCATTGCCTCTCCCTCTCATTGCCTCTCCCTCTCATTGCCTCTCCCTCTCATTGCCTCTCCCTCTCATTGCCTCTCCCTCTCATTGCCTCTCCCTCTCATTGCCTCTCCCTCTCATTGCCTCTCCCTCTCATTGCCTCTCCCTCTCATTGCCTCTCCCTCTCATTGCCTCTCCCTCTCATTGCCTCTTCTCTCATTGCCTCTTCTCTCATTGCCTCTCCCTCTCATTGCCTCTCCCTCGCATTGCCTCTCCCTCGCATTGCTTCCCTTACTCATCACTCCCCCATCCCCTTGCCTCTCCCATTTATTCCCTCTCATTGTCACTCAGTACCACTGTACCTCGAGAAAAAAACAAGATTTGTCGACCGTGTGTGGATAGACATGTTTTCCAATTGTGACCTGCCTGCCGCTGCTCCCACGGGGAGCGAGGGTGCAGTGCAAGCAGGGTGCAGCAAGACACGAGGCAGCAACAGCAGCGCTGCAGACAGCAATGCTCCAGACATCAGCGATGCAGACAGCACACCTCTTGCTGCAGGGCTACTGCCTGGGGAAAAACCAGTGCGGGGAGCATATGGGGGAGAGAGCATAGGAATAGTAGCAGCATGCGTGGCAGCAGTTGAAGGCACACGCATGGCAGGGGAAGGAACTTCACTCCATTCAGTCTCAGCCTGCTCCGGTTCTTCCTTAACACGCTTTTTCCACATGCACCCTCTCTCAACTCAACCATGTTTCCTATAGGTGCAGGCCATTCATTGGTTGCTGGCTCATCCTCTCTCTTCCCCCGTGATCAATCTCAGCAAGCTTCTCCCCCCATGCACCCTTGGCCCTGTGCCAGTTGGTGCATGCCATACAGGCCATGCTGTGTGCGCCCTCCCCTGCATCTGCTCACTCATCCCCGCCTGCACCGCTGCTCACCCCGCCCGCTGCCGCACTCTCACAAGCCCTGTCGCCAACTCAAGCTGCACACAAGATTAAAGGCGCATGAAATAACTGTCTACTTTGAGAATAATCTAGGATGCAATAAGTGTTCTGCTTGCATCTCACCCCGTTACAGCAGTTAGTCCACCCATTAGCTTATTCCCCATTGAGTACAAGCAGGAATTGTGCTGGAGGGAGGCCTTGCATTGTGGTGATGACGTTGCCACATTTCCCACTTCACTGAAGGGCATTCTATTGCTATGTGTCACAATACAAACTCAATCATCAGCCGAGAACAACACAAAACACAATACGATACTTAGCCAAGTACAATACAAACAGACTATTCAGCCAAGTACAATACGGTACAAACAGATATTCAGCCAAGCATAATACAAACTTCTCAGGGGGATCGCTAGAGCAACATTGAGACAACCCGCTGTGTTTTTCAGACTTAGTGCTAAGGGAAAATAGCGGAACTGGTAAAGCGCTCAACCACTTGGCCAATCTGCCAACCCTTGACGTGGTTGCGAGAAAGCATGATTATCACCCCAAGAAGAGCATCCGTCGAACTTAAATTTACTCTTCCGGCTGCGACGCGTCGACGCCAGGCCTCTGGATAGGATTTGGGGTACTCTTTCGCGTAAGGCCAACACCCAGCTTTTACTCTTTCAGTAAGGGTGCTTCACAGAAACTGCTCAGGGTTTAAAAGTTTTTGATAAATATTTAAGTCTCATACCGGACAGGATGTTGGTGTTGCAGTCGGTTGAGTCGACGAAGTTATGCAGAGGGCCGATTTCGATACTCAGCGCGAGAGTCCGACTAGAATAACATGTTTTACACGACCAATCCTGGTATCCTCTCTAAGATTGAACTCGATTTTATCAGTGCTACTACACCACATAGCTCTGAAATATCAGTGTCGTATAATCGATCACTCTTTTTTGTAAGGGTCTAAAACAAAACCAGTCTTGTAAAAAAGGGTGCATAGTCAAACCCGCCCTTATAGTAAGGGTCATAAGGGTGAATCACCCTGATATCGAGAGGCCTGGTCGACGCCATGGATGGTAAGAAACTTCTCCCTGAAAATCCCAGCATGCTTAATCTTAGCCTTGCCCTTTCCAATAGCGACCTTCTTAGACTTCGTCGTCGCGTCCACAATCTGATCCGTACCCACGCTGCCGCCATTCACGTTCTTCAGATTTGACGCCTTCGCGAGGTCGTCCTCCTCGTACACGCCGTCCAGCATCTGCGCGCGAAAGAGCTTGGTGTAGGGGTCGACTTCGCCGCGCCTCATGCCGGTTTTCACCATCATGGCGAGCGCGTCCGGGGCCTTGGAAGCAATGACGCCGTCCTCCGACAGCAGCATAGTTTTGTGGTCCACCTTGTTGAGGAAATCCTCATTCGGGTTCCAGTCCGTCTCTGCATCATCACGAAGAAAACAGAAGCAGTGTCAAGCCAAAGGACGCTACGAAATTTAGTACCAGAGAACGAAACAACAACGGCGCGCATAACTTGCAGGAAATGCAGCAGGATTTACCCAATTGAGGGATGACGTGGTCAAGGAGCGTGTGGGTGGCGTGATATCGGCCGTTCAGCTTGGGGTCCACAAGTGCGTCGCGGGTCTGCTTTAATTCGTCGATGACTCCTCCTTGGTAGGCCGCGCCGCAGCAGGTGCCAGCAGTGACGCGAGCGTGCAGAGGGCGAGAACGGAAAGCTGCCACGACGCCATGGCGCGAATTGAATGTATCTTCTAACTGCCGTGAGTGATCGTACGAGTGACTTTCAGCGTTGCAAAGCCAAGTGAAGAATCGAATGTGTGATCAATCGGAGTGCGAACGTGGGAATTTATGGTTGGACGGAATGTCTCGCACTACCCGTGGTGATGAAATTGAGTTTGGGAGCACGTCGCATTGTGACGAAAAGGGCTGTCGATGGTGATGGAGTTCGCAGCCAATCAGAATAGTATTTCTAGCCTCGTTAATTCGCCGAAGCGCAGAATTATTCCCGCCTAAATCTTATGCGGCTAGGAGAGAGATTCACGGCCCCTCCATGGCACCTGCGCTTATGTCGCAGCTTCATTCGGCGATGCGCGCGGTATTTGCGCGAGTCGCGACATGTAATGTTGCGGATGCAGGTGGGTATGAAGGGGGAGCGGAGGGCCAGCACGGGGCAGGTGCGATGTTGAGCGTTGTGTACTGCGATTCTAGGGGCTCGCGGAGCTGGCATCAGTGCTTGAAACATGCTGTTGGGTTCGGCGGACAGAAGGATGGAGCACGCTTGGTGCTGTGAAGATAGTAGGTAGAGTTAGGATCAGGAGCCATAGCTAGGAGAGTCCTAGCTAGGCAAGAAACAGTTTAGGCAAAAGAGGGATTTTCACTAGCAGCAATGAGGATACATATAGCAAACCCTAGATGGGTTGTACTCGCTATAGAGCACCCCACTACAGGCTAGAGAATAACATTCTGACACACCCCCATAGCCAAAGTGGGGTGTAATCAGTACAATGAGCAAGCAGGTATAGAGCAGGAGTTCAAAAAGGTAAGCAAAGCTAGAGCTAATCACAGCGGGCAAGTGAGGAGGAGGAGGAGCTGTGGAGGTAGAGAAGATGGGAGGCAACGACTGAAGCTGCAGAGGCACGGGCACAGGAGCGGCTGACTCAGAGGCTACCGAAGCAAGGGCGACGGACTACTGGAGTAACTGGCTCGGTGGCTATAGAAGAGCGGCAGGAGCAACGGACCCACTGGCGACTGGTGCAGCAGGCTCACTGGCTACCGAAGCAAGGGCGACGGACTACAGGCGCTGCAGGCGACACGACAGGTACCTCCACACAACCTCCTCCAACTGCCCCACACCCTCGACACACACCCACTGCTCAAACCCTAGCTCCACTCCCACGCACCCCCCTAAAACCCTAAACCCCAGTCTCCCACTCATCCACCCCCCTCAGCGACAGCTGCAGCAGTGGGAGACAAAGGAGGAGGAGGAGAAGGGCACGGCGCGCACAACGGACACCCCCACAACCACCACCCCCACACTCCTCACCCCCAAACCCTAAAACGGGTGGGATAGGGGCAGGAGCGCGGGGGACGGAGAGGGGGGGGAAGGCGCGCGCCTCTAGGGCGCCAGAACGGACGGGTGGGGCGAGGGAAGGGGCGTGGCGCGCGCTGCTCCCCTGGGCGCCGCGACGGACGGGCGGGGGGGACGCGCGCGCGGCTCCCCAGGGCGCCGCGACGGCCTGGCGGGGCGCGCGCGGCCTCCCGAGGGCGCCGCGACGAGCTGACGGGGCGCGCGCGGCCTCCCCAGGACGTCGCGACGACCACGCAGGGCGCCCACTGGCTCCCCAGTGCGTCGCGACCGACGGGCGGGGCGCTCGCGGGCTCCCGAGGGCGTCGCGACGGACGGACGGGGGGCTCGCGGGCTCCCCAGCGCGCCGCGACGGGCAGGGCGGGGGGCCGCGCGTGCTCCCCAGGGCTCCGCAACGGACGGGCGGGGCGCGCGCTGGCTCCCCCATAGCAGTAAACCGCCGTGCGCGTCGGGGCGCACGGCGGGCAGGCGCGCGGCGGGATGAAAAATAAGAGGCCGCGCACCACGGGGCGCGCGACACAGCGTAGGGCAGCGGAAGCAGTAGGAGGGCCCACAGGCCAGGAGCGTATGTGCTCTGATTCCATGTGAAGATAGTAGGTAGAGTTAGGATCAGGAGCCATAGCTAGGAGAGTCCTAGCTAGGCAAGAAACAGTTTAGGCAAAAGAGGGATTTTCACTAGCAGCAATGAGGATACATATAGCAAACCCTAGATGGGTTGTACTCGCTATAGAGCACCCCACTACAGGCTAGAGAATAACATTCTGACAGGTGCGGCCAGGGGTTTTGTTTGCTGCGGCGCAAAATGTGCTCCCACTCTCGCCAGGAGTTTTCTGCCGCCTCAGAGGGCACCCTGGATTTCCCGCAAACCTTGCATTAGGAAGGGCGCGACACTGGCGTTGTTCTGCAGGCGTTTAGGGTTCCGCACCAATTTGACCGCGGTAGCCTTCCGTGCATTTTCTAGGCGCATTCATGCTGGTTGCGTTGCGCGGATGTTGCTGCCTCGCATAACATGTGCGGAGGCTGATGCTAGCTCCCGAGGTAGAATTAGCACCGCACTAGTTGTGCGACCATTTGCCCGGCGAATCAACAACTTCGAACCTGCAGACGGTTAAATTCGTGCGCCCCAAAAGTGGCGTTCTACAGGCTTAAGCATTAAATTTGGCGCAAACAGGTCACCCTACAACGAGAGTGGACTACGAAGGAGAGCACGGAGTTGTGTGGGTGATCGTAGCGCTCTAGTAGCGTTCTATCAGAGTTCTTACTACTTGCTGTGACCACTAAGAAATTTGGCAAGAGTTTCCACTGAGGAAATTGAAAAAACATTGAAAATTGAGAATTAGAGTACAAAGAAGAGCATGCAAGTGATATCACTGGAATGGCATTGCAATCCCTAGCAAGCATTCTGCAAGGCGAATTGCCAGCTCTGCATCAGAGCGGTTTGCCAACGCTGAAACAGGGCGGCCTGCCAGCGTAGCAGAAAGGCGACATGCCAGAGTTGCAACAGGGCGGCCTGCCAGCGCTGCATTCGCAGGTGAATATCTGCGCAGGTGTGCACCTGCCGAGTAGGTGCAGGTAGACGGTTGCACCGTCAGAGACATTGCGCAGGTGCCAGGTAGAAAACGCTCCGACGGTTTCGTCAGGTGTCCACCGTCGAGCACGTGATGCCATTTTGCATGTCGAATTTCGCTAAGAGCCACCTGAGCGAATTTCGCATGCCCTTGCAGAGTTTCGCAGTCGCGCGAATTCGGCCAGCCAGTCCGCCGAGATGAGACTCGCCGAACAGCGCCCTTCGATCAGAGAACGGGGCTCCTCGAAAAGCACCCCGTCCGCCAGAGATCGCGCGACCCAGAAGCAGATCAGAAGACGAGCTCGTCGAACAGCACCCCGTCGACCAGAGCTCGTTGATGGGCTGGTGAATCAGAGGATAACCTCCTCGAAAACCACAGGCTGGTTCAGAGGACAAGCTGATCCAACGCGACG